AAAAATGAAAGCATAAATCGGAGATTTACTGCCGGTGGCAAAGAAAAGGAAAGAAAGCTGCAGAATACCAAAAGTGGGAGACCCTTCTTCAGAGCATGTACGGGTTCCAGACCTTCCAGAGGAGGCGGGCTTGGAGCAAAACGGACCACAAGCCATAAACTCATCGCGTGCGTGCCACAAGGTTTGAGCCATGACAATGGCCTTTTGAAATGGCAAGTAAGGCTCCCTTTTCATGCAGCGAGGATGTTCCGCACTCGACTCATGCACTCTTCGTCGTCGAATGGCAGGAAACCTTCGCATCACAGTCTTGTCACACCCGCCCTCCAAGTTCCCAACCGCGTCCATCCCATTATTGTGGTCTCCAATGCCTATCCTCCTATTCTACCCTGATCCTACAGCACCTTTGTCGATCTTCGAACATTGACCTTAGCTCCTCCTTCCCTTTAAGGGTTCGAAAATTAAGAAAGTCATATTTGCATCACCTTTCGTTTTTCAACCGTCCTGCTTCTTGACACAAAATGTCAACTGTCTCCGTGGCCTTTTTCTAGCGGTCCGCACTGCTCACATCCATTTGTCGTCGCTTCAGTTGCTGAGAGTCAGACATCGTCACACCCCGTCATCATGATTGAAGTACATAAGTGTGCTCGATTACGGACAGCTGCCAATTACAGGCTCTAATGGCCTAATGACGTTGCTTACGGCATTCAGTATCGTCCGAATCAGTGGCCTCAGTTATAATAGCCTCCTGAAGCGGTCATGTCACACCTCATGCCAGTGTAACTTTCACATCATCAACATATCAGACAGCGATAATTAGCTACCCGACAATAGTGTGTTCTTCCCAGACCGACAGGCACTTCCGTCGTGTTCTTCGCTCGCATTCGTCGTCGTGCGCGTTGTGTTTTCGAACTGATTACGCCTAATCTGTCAATTTCAGATGGACCTGTCGCTTTTGCCCGAAGAAGTGCTTGTCAATGTGCTTCGGCAGACGTCTCCGACTACGGTCATCACCGCAAAACGGCTCAACAAGAAGCTGCACAGAATTGTCGAACGCAATCATCTGGCTAAACCTCGTGTCGACGATTTCAAGTTAGTAGTTTAGGCATCTTCTGTGTGGCTATAGAGATGATTGGACGAGTTTCAGTGTCGAAATGCGAACATTCCACGGGCGAACACGACCCATTGGGAAATTACAGTTGAAGAACAACGCTGGTACGGTACATCGCCGAGTGGTGGTGACGATGAAACGAAAGAACAAAAGTCGTCAGGTGGTCGAAGAAGGTGTCGAGGGACCAAGCAACTCGTCCGGCACACATCTCATTGCGGAGGAGATGAAAAAGGTAAGGGTTGAGACTTGAATTTCAAGATCCTACGCTAAATGACGCATTGAAGGTGCTGCTCTACGAAAGACTGTCCTTTGACGGCGTCACTGCCGATACCGAGTTCTTCAACATGCTCACAGCAAAATGGAATGATTTGAGGTTAGTGTTAAGTAATTCGGCCAAATACAGAATTCTCGCTTACCATCTGATACGAATTCAAAAAAAAAACCGATCTGAAAAATAAATACAGCTCTTGCTGTGGCGAAAGCGTTCACTAAGGCCGTGTTCATAGTTCGCGACCTTAGAGATAAGCGCAGTAGACGACAATGAAAAAGATATGTATTGATTAGGGGATCCGTACGCCAGAAGATTAGCGTAGAAGGGGGGGGGGAGGATTTTCCACCAAAACGATTGGAGACGTAATGATTTGAAATCTCTAGAGAGTAGGAGATCATGTGATTAAGATTTTACTACTGTCGGATAGTAGGATTTTT